CAGCGAAAGCACTGACTGCATCCCCCTCTGAGACGAGCCTCATCCTAAAGGGAAGCATTTTATTACAAACTCATTGATTAATTGAGATGGAGAATTTGCTCCAAGCATCGGGCAAGAATGAAACCCGACAGGAGGCTCCCATGAAGGCAGAGTTGTTCACAGGGTTTGTGGAGGTGGTCTGGAGCGGGGGGAGTCGTGCAAAACTGTTGATGCAATTATGAGCAAAAACATAAGAACAGTTAAAGGTCCACTGTGTAACATTTAGGCTGGTATTATCCTGAAATCCCCTTTCTTTTGGCAGAAATAGAATATTAAATTACTATAAACCCTTCTTTTTATGAGGGTACATTAAAATGGGAGATGAATTGTGGTTTTCATTATCCTGAAATGAGGATTTTATTTTATTTACACCAGGAGCAGGTCTTTTCTACATAGTGTGACACGGCAGACAATGAAAAACCGTGTGTGTTTGAATGATAAACACAGTCTGTTGTATGCAGTTCTACATTTTTTTGCTGTAAGTACAGCAAAAGTACAGCCAGGAATATGTGACCACAACATGTAATGTTACCGCTACACGCTGTGTACAGTGAATCTCAATTTGACTCCTGCTGCATGTTGGGACCTGGCTTCCAAAAAAATGATGTCATATCTGTTACAATTCAAGTTAAATCTTTTCCAGTCACCATGTTCAGAAAGAAAGATCTGGAAAAGCTCTCTTTATGTGCCAGTTGTTGCAGCTTTACAGGCAGAAAGAATGTGCAGTGTTTACGATGTATTAAAAACAAAATAAAAGACAAACTAATTAAATGAAAAACACAGCTCGTTCTTTAACAATGAGCAGCCATCTTGGTTTTAAACGCTTACAAAAAAGAAAATACAAAACTTATATGTTTGTATTTTTCCTAGTGTTTTCCATAAGGCTATAGAAATTCCATTATAATTGGGATTTAAAAAGTTTTCCAAATTACCCAAAAGCACTTAGTTCTGTGTTTCTGCATACGAAGCTCCGAGTGTTGTTTGTAATCTTAAAATAATTTGTTCATGACACCCACACGGATTGTAAATCACAAGGAGTGAAGATTGATATCGATCTCATTTCAGCGGTGGAGCAAATGTGAAGCTACTCAGCTTAGCGTAGCATGACGTCTGGAAATGGGAGAAATGTCTGACTGTTCTTTCCAAATCTTTCTGACTGGATAATTCTCAAATGCGACGAGAGGCCTACTGTATGTACTCCATCTGTGGAGGATGACAGCATGTTAGACAGCTCATTACTGAAGCAGTTGGAGATGTCACTCTCACTAGGCACAGTATGCCATGCCCCGATTTTAAGCCTCAACTTAATATGTTGTCATGGAAATCCACACTCGTACATCAGACTCTTTCCATTTGTGTTGAGTCCAGGCCCGGTCTGTTCCTGAACCGCAGAATTAGTGTATTATTAGTGTGAAAAGCCCACGTACGTGAAGCACTTCAATGTCTGACTGCATGTGTCATATTTGCAAATAGTTTTTCCCTTTCAAAAATAAAGTTTAGACTTCTTTCTAAAAGATTAGATTGATTCATCAAAAGTTTTCTTTGGTCAAAGGAGATAAAAAGAAGCACTTTTCCTATTCAGGCACTCTTTATAAATCATTTACACTTGCTTTAAAAAATCCATTAGAACGCACTCTTGAGAAGAAGCATATGTGTTTCCAGACTGTGGTGCTTTGCTTCACTCAGTTACTCAAAAAAAAAAATCTTTAGTTTTCTTGTTGCCCTTATCTTTTTTTCCCCCCAAAAGATGTCTCTGGAGTGTTTTTAAATATGATTAGTCATCACATAGATCCTGGGGCGTCACCATGAGTCAATATTTACATTATGTCAACACAAAGTGTGAATTTACTCAGCAAAACTGCAGTGAAAACTCCTGGCATTTTGTTGTTAAGTTAGACCTCAGTAAATAATATAATAATATTTTTTTTTATTATTTAAATAATTTATGATTATTGTTAAATTATGTTTATATACAGTAATATTTAAGAATGAAATGAAATGAAATGAATTAGTGGTGAGTATTTAGCTTTGTAATGAATCACATTTAATCAAACAATAGTTTTGCAGTTAAAATAATGTTGGTTGATGATTGAATCATTGAATGGACATGTTAACTTTAACAACAGCACTGTTCTGTCTGTCATCTATACTCATCTGGAACATATCCATAACAACTACCTGCTCAGAGAGGTGCAGTTATTATTATTATTTTTTTAAACCCAGCATCTGGTTGATATTGGGCTTATTACACTGTTTACCTGTTGTTGCTAACTTTAGCTCCGGTGACGTTTTGTTGGCGATACCGTAGGCTGGAAGTGCTGCACTGATAAGAAAACACTTTGCTGGACATTTTCCACACAACTGTGCTCTTATCCAAGCTGCCTCTGGAAAGTTTAAAGGAAAAGAAAAGCTTTCCTAAACAAACCAAACACAAGTGCACTGTGCTATCAGTGCTCACCAAACTTACTTCTGAACCGGTGTCAATTTTTTTCACAGATTATTCATGAATCAGCGTATTAAAGCCTAAGTTATTCTAAGAATATATTCCTATTATTTTTTTTCAGTTCAATATACCTTCAACAATAAAATCATTTCAAAAAGACTTAATGGCATTTACTCCTGGGTCAGATTTAGCACCTGATCCAACCTAGACTGTAAACATAATGTAAATAATGTCCCTACCTTTTGAATGATTTTCATTTTCAGAATATTGAATCCTTTAACTAACATGTAATTGAACTCTAGTTTCCAAATATGTACTGGTTACTGGTTAACCGAGTCAAGTTTAAGAACAATTATAAATGAACATTATGTCCATACCCCCCTTTAATAGACATCCATCAGAACTGCGGTCATGTGAAGAGTAAACTTCACCCTCTGGGAATTTTTAAATATAGTAAGGCAAGTCTTCGGAGCAGTGATTTATTAGCTGTTGGTTATCTCCAGCTTCCTAACTCCCTGATCAGGAGTTAGCATCACTGTTTTAAACCCATGAAGGACCCCTACGACCCATCAATTAAAAGAAACCGTGAACTTCGGTGAATATGGGTATGGATTACTTGATACAAATACCTCCCTTTCACACAGATTTGTAAAAGAGCTGTGGTTGAGGCTGCGGCTAAATTAAGAGGAAGGAGAGATTAGAAGCTTAGGGAAAATCAAGCCAAGGCTGCTGCTCTCATTTAGATGTTTGAAATTAGACCGAACACTGAATAAATCTAGGTGCTATACTTCTGAGAGCATCATTCCCAGCAGTTATGCAAATGAGCCATCCAATTCACACAATAATCAGATCATGTGCCGCTTTGTTGGAGTGTGCTGTTCTATCTGTGTAACAGAGACGAGAGCAGAGAGCTGTCCAAAAAAGAGCTAATTTGGGGCCGATGGCCACTTGACTGTCGTAAAATTGTAGAGCCACAATGAAATGGGTGTGATTCTCCACTCGATGCTTCCTTCCTTCCACTGCAGGAGTCTGGGCTCTAATAAAGGCCTGTGTAGTTCCTCCACTCAGCAGACAGGCTGCCTTTCTGCTGTGTGGAGAAATGTGTTCAATCACCATGGCTACTGGTCAGAGAAGAGCCCCTGCTGTGGTTGTTAGGATTTCTCCGTCTGCTGACACACCGGCTCAGTTTGCAGGTTAACAACTCACAGTCCACACTGTGTGTGTGTGTGTGTGTGTGTGTGTGTGTGTACATGGATCTCTGTGTTGTATGTGCAGGAGGTCTGCAAGCCAGGGGTTTCATTTAGTTTTCATACTCACAAGGGCTACAGGAGTTTTTAATTCAAGACATAGACTTTGGAAAACGAAGCCAAAAATGGTCCGCCTAGTCTCCCCACAGTAGCACTGATGTGAGAAGTGCAACATGAGAAAGCTTTGAGCAGTATTGATTCAGCTGAGCACTCTCAGATCCAGTACCAAAGGATCTGAGGAGAGAATTATCCATGCACCATTTCCTCTTCTGCTCCTGTGTGGAAAATTCTGCAGTTACAGCTTTCCTCTAGCCTACATACAGCAGACACACGCACACGCACACACACACACACACACTTGGGACCCCATGCAGGCGCACACATGCTTGGAGGAAAACACATGCATAAAGTCATATGCACTCACACACTAAGGTTTGTGTCACTACTCTTGTGAGGATTTCTTATTTTACTTCCATTCAACTGTACAACCAAACTGAAATCCTACTGCTAACCAACAACGCTCGGCCTAACTTTAACCTAACTTCAGAATATTTTACACAATGCCTTTTGGAACATTGCATAGTCCAATCACTGAATATTTGGAAAAAACATTTTTGCCTAAGTGGCACTGTTATATGGCCAGAAGGCCACGGTGGTTACTTTTCTGTTAGCAGATGTGTTGGAATGTAGCAACCAGGGTATGACATGTTACAAACATGATAGTGTTGCAATGATGGACTGTTAATAAGAAATGAACCACAATTTTGTTGCAGGCTATGGCTGCAAGTTTTTATATGAAAACCAAGGTATGCTCACGGTTCTGCTTCTGCGTCAAAATGGCTGAAATTATAATAGTACATTTTTACCCATGCAGTGTCTCAATTTATCCACTGGGGGTGCATGGTGATGCTGCTCCATGCCCGTATTTTTGTCAATGTCTTACTTTTGCAAATAGTTGGTGATTTTGAGATGAGAGGCCCAGGTTAGAGCCAGGTTAGAGCAAAGAAGAGAAAACATTTGAATCTGCTCCCAGTCCGGATCGTTTTCAAAAAGAACTTCCATTGTCAATTGTGATATAATTGTGATCTAATTTTGATCTAATTGTGATAATTTTCCACAATTCATGCGTTACACGTCTGCACTTAACAATTGTTACACATTTCATCATAAAAGTGCAGAGAATAAGTACAGAGGGGATTTTTTTTCCAGGTGAAGCTTAAAATTTCAATTGAGCTGTTTTATGAAATGTATCAGTTAATGGTCGAGTGTGAGCAAAAAAAAAGGTTAGCCATTGTTACTTTGTTATCAAAAGCAGTTGTTGAATAATTAACTGGGTGAATAATCATCCATTAGTCGACAAATTCTGACAGCCTTAATGTGTGAAGGATGCTCAGTCTGTAATATGATGATATCACTGTGATCCCAAAGCCTGGACTCAGAAGTCCGTATATCCACAGCCACACAGAGACTAAAAATAAGTGCTCCATTTTGGCTAAATCCATATGAAGAGATTATTGGAAGCCATAACTGTGGAGGATATAATCCACCAATGAAATGTGGATTCCTGAGACACAGGGCATTGTCTGCATGTGTCTTTTTGCCCTATCCTCCGTTAACTCCCCACCCGGCTGCTCCTGAATAATGTACGACAGGCCTCCTCTCTGTCCAATGGCAGAGGAGCGTTTCATCAAGCTATCTCCTGTCAACCAATCCTGGCGCACCCGGTGATCCATGCGCATTGGAGCGCGGTCCCCCTAACGGCCCCTCCTTTCCCTCAAACGGACGTAATCTGTGGATCAGAGAGGCAGTCGCTCAGTCTGTGGAGTCGGAGTCGACCGGAGGTGATGGGAGGTGAAACAGCCTTAGTGGCGCTCCACGAAATCACATAAGGAGTCAAACCTGCACTTACATGCAGGGCGGTGAAGGGAAAACGTAAGTATATTGACATATGTGGCATATTTTCTATAGTTAAAGATGTGACGTAAAACACAATAGGTGTTTTATCTGTTATTCCATAGGAATGTGCACAGACTGATGCCGTGGTGGGTTCGGCATTGTGTTATTTACTAATGCATTGGAAATGTTTGATAGGGAAGAAAATGTACTCTGATCCTCTCATGCGATTGGTTAAGAGCTCAGCACTTGTAATGAAGCGGCTTTAAAATCAGCCCTGAGAATTTGATCCAGCATGAAAAAAAAGGGTCATTTCATAAGGACATGAACCGTCTGACTCCAGTGGAAAAAAAATCTCCTGATCTCTGATTGGTCTGTGCTCAATGCACACTTCAACTTTTACAATGCTCCATAGTGCGAGACCAGACGCGCGGACGGAACACGGTGTACAGAAAACGCTGGTTTCCGCTGCTGGGAAAGTTTGAAGGAAACGTCCAAAGAGAGAGTCTTCTTACACTCTAAAAACATTACTTTGATTCATTTCACTCATCATCACACAGTCAGTCTCCTGCTCCTGTGCGCGGACACGTTGATAAATGGTGGCTATTATTTTTCAGCAGAACAATGCGCACCGGCTTTGTGAGGACCATCTGTCATGGAATCGACGTTACATCCGGCCGCAGACATTCCGGGTGACACACCTGAAGGAAGAGCAGGCAGCAGACGGCCATCGGTCACATCACAGTCGTCTATCACCGAGCCATGACGCACGGTGCGTAAAAACGCAGTCAGAGATTGAACACATTTTTTTTCCCGAATAAATAGTCCTGCTGTTTTTTCCAAACACTGGGTCGGGGGCCATGTTTGGACAAGAGGGATAGTTTTGGGGTCACTATAAACATTTTAGCTATGATATATATATATATATACATATACATATATATATTTAATTAACTGATCATAATAAGTACTCTTAAGTGGAAAGTATGTTTAATACTGTAGTTCTTAAAAGTGATATATAGTGTAGTGCTGGTTAAGTAGGTTAAAATATTTGGAAAAAAAAAGTAAACAAAGTGGAAGAAAAAAAAACGTATAGTAGTCAACTTCATGATGATGTTCTATGGTTGAAGTGACTTGACCCGTTTATTACTGTGAAAATGTGTCCAACTGCTGTCTCTGCTCCACTAAGACCTATAATTATATTGTTTTTTTAACCAGGTGTGTATAGCACTTTGTAAACTATGTAAACCCTCCATTCTCTAACATTTGATACATTTTAATTCTTAAAAAAAAGGAGGATAATTAAAAATCCATAACATTCTAAAAATGCCAGGGCAAATGTTCCACTCACTAGGTGGGGCATAATTATGGGTCCACATAAAACCTGTCTCACTGCCACAGGCTACACTTTGGGCATGCATGTTCCATCATCGCTGGTGTCCTGTCTGCTGGTTTTGTTAGTCCTGTGTGCATAACAGCTTAGCTTTAACACAAAAGATTGAATACAGTTTAGAGGCCCAAGCCCCCTGATGCCCTCTTGTGGTGTCTGTCCCACCTGACACTGTGGCCCAACCAGAGTCCGATTTTTTTTTCTTGCTCTCCAGGTAGTTTATGCAGCTGAGGCAGGGTTTTTTTTTTTTTTTTTTTTTTTTAAAGGGACTCTGGAAATTGCGTGCTTAGTCTCTCAGCTTGCAGTGCCAAGCACTAATATGCCTTAAGGTTAATGAGGCAGTCTCCATAAATTCTTCTGCCATCTGGATATCGTAGGTCTAGACGCTTAGCGCAGTACAGCATTTTACTGGCTGCAGATTGAACACAGTGTGCCTTGATAAAATATGAACAGTAAATGCTGGGGTTCAAAGGAAAAGTGTTTCTGTCGTGCCCGGCGGCTATAACTTTTATGTACATTTTTTTTGGGGAAAGTGTTTTGTCAGGATTTATCTCCGTGTAGAACTGTGTGGGCAAAGCTAATGCGCTCAGCTGTGATAACGTCTCTTCCGTCCATCTCTGGGCTGAGCTACAGTTAATTCATTTTAGCTTTGTCCCTCATGAACAGGAACGGCACAGT